TTGGGCCTGCTCCCAGAGCCACAAACCCTTTCTGCAGAGTCTGCAGCTTTAAGGGTTCCGGGGAGGAGGGCATGGAGTTCTCCTGTGAGTGGACAGAGCAGCCATCAGGGCACCCTGGAAAGGGATAGAGGCCCCCTATTTCATAATAGCCCCTATTGCCTGTCTATACAGCTTCTATTTCAAAATATCTATTTTGTAATATGGGCCTGCTCCCAGAGCCACAAACCCTTTCTGCAGAGTCTGCAGCTTTAAGGGTTCCGGGGAGGAGGGCATGGAGTTCTCCTGTGAGTGGACAGAGCAGCCATCAGGGCACCCTGGAAAGGGATAGAGGCCCCCTATTTCATAATAGCCCCTATTGCCTGTCTATACAGCTTCTATTTCAAAATATCTATTTTGTAATAGGTGCTATTCCTTGTAGGAGGAGGTTTACAGAACTCAAAATAAGCCATCCGCTATTTTGTAATTATTTCGAAATAGTGGTTTTGATGTGTAGGCACTCACAAAGTTATTTCAGAATAGCAGCCATTATTCCAAAATAACTTTGCTGTGTAGACATATCCTCTAAGATTTTCTATCCATGAGTGCAGTGAGTTTTGCCTTGTGCATGTCAAGGTCATGTGCACTTGTTTCGATGTGTGCCACCGTGGCACGCACCAGTTATTAAAAAGTATTAAATTGCATACCATTATGCCTAACAAGGCAAGGTTTTTTATTATAAAGGACAACAGAATATTTAGGAAGCTGAGGTCTAAGCAAAGACCAAATTCAATTCACTCATGCTACGTCTCCACTATAGGCTTCTTGCACAAGAAGACTTTTGCACAAGAGCGCGTCCACACTATTGGATGCTCTCCCACATATAAAAGCCACCCGGAACTGGTTCTAGCTGGGCTTGAGGTCATCAGTCGCTGCTGTTGCCGGAGTCCTCCAGAGACGCGTGCTTAAAGGGACCCCCCCAGACAGCTGCTTCTCTCTTTCTGCTACCTGCTTGCTAGCCTCTTTGGCAAATCTAAGCTTCAGCAGTGCCTGCTGTTTGCCCTTTGCTTTTTTGGGGATGACACAGCTTTTTGCCTTTTGGTTTGCCATGGAGCCTGAGCTTCCCCTCAGCATGCGATGGCTCCACACAGCCATGCTGCAGTTTCTGCAGCATTTGATCCCAGCAGCCTACTTGTTGTAGTTGTATGTGGACACTGAACTCCTCCTCATGTCTCTCTGAGTAGCTGCAGCTGCTCCGGTCTGGCTACCACACACCACCGTACTCAGGAGTGTCAGAAGGCTGGAGATCAGTTCGGACTGGTGGGACTGGCTGATCATGGAGCAGTGGGATGACCAGCAGTGACTGCACAACTTTTGCATGCATGAGGCCACCTTCCTCAAGCTCTATGCCTGGCTCACACCAGCCCTCCGGCCCACTATCCCTGCGACACCCACCTGCAGCCCACTATCCCTGTCCAGAAGTACGTCACTATTGCCCTCTGGAAGCTGCCCCCCCCAGACAGCTACCAGTCAGTGACCAGCCAGTTTGGGGTTTGGAATTCCACCACGGGGGCCATCCTGATGCAGGTAAGGAGCTTGCGGGCTGCAGTCCCTGCCTGGGGGGGTGAACTGGGGGTGGGGAGAAAGGGTTGGCCCTGGGGGCTTGTCCCACCCTCACAAGCCCTGCTGCTGGAGGAGGGGGGGGGCACAGGCTCATAGGGGGTGGCTGCTGGGAGGTTGGGGGGTAGAGGAAGGATGGGGATGTGCACCTCCCAACAGATCATGCAACCCCTCTAGACCTCTCTGTTCTCTGTGTTTCTTTGACTTTTTCTGCAGGTCAGCTGGGCCATCAGCTCCCTGCTGCTGTGCAGAGTCCTCTGGCTTCAAGACCTGGATGCAACGAAGTTTGGGGGGGGAGCCATTGATGGCACACACATCCCCATCTGGGCCCCAGAACAATAACTGACCCACTTCAGCAACCACAAGGGCTACTTCTCAGTAGTCCAGTAGGCCCTGGCGGACCACCAGAGCCACTTTACAGAAATTTTTGTGGAGTGGTTGGGTAAGGCACATGATGCTCAAGTGTTCAGGAATTCCAGCCTGTGCACCAGCCTGGAGATGGGCACCTTTTTTCTCCACCGGGATTTTGCAGTGGGTGAGCACAACATGGCAGTGTGCGTAGTTGGGGATGCGACCTACCCACTCATTCCCTGGCTAATGAAACCCTACACCAGGCACCTGGATCCCAGCAAGAATCTGTTCAATGCCCACCTCAACAGAGCCCAGAAGCACTCAAGGGATGGTTCTGCTGCCTTCTCACCTGCCTGGATGCCAGGGAGCATAATATCTCTGAGGTGGTGGCAGAGTGCTGTGTGCTCCACAATATTGTGGAGCACAAGGGGGAGGCCTTCCTCCCGGGGGGGGAGAGGCTGGGCACACCTCCCGGGGTGACAGAGGCTGGCCACAAGATGCTGGCCACAAGGGTTGTGCATTTTCAGTCGCCACCTGCCAGGCCCATCAGTTGGGGATGTGCATCCGGGAAGCCTTTCTGGAAAGGTTCTCTGAGGTCCCCCCAGTAACTGTCCCCAGGGCCTCCCCAACAAGGGCATCTGCCTTTCTGCCTTTTTCTGTTCCCCCTCGCACTCCTTCCCCTTGCCTCTTTCCTGACCTCCCAATAAACACACCTGTTTGATTTGAAAACAAAATAAGTCTTTTTTTATTCAACATCAAGAGAAGGAGAGCAGGGGGAGGAAGGATGTCTGAACTGGGAGGGGGGCTGTCTGGACTGGGAGGGGTAGTGGGATGGGCTGCTTTGCCATCTTGGATGTGGGCATGTGTTCAGGGTTGGGTAGGTCTGCGTACCTCAATGGGTTGGGCAGGAGAGGTATCTGCAACTGGGCCAGGGTTGTCAGTAGGGGCAGGAGGAGGGGCCATAGGCATCACTTGGGAAGGGAGGATGGGCATTGAGAAGGGAGGGAGCAGAGGCATGGCATGGGGAGGGAGGAGAGACATAGCAGGGTGGGCAATGGCCATAGGAGGTGGGCAGGAGGGTGGAAGGCAGGAGCAGCGGCATCGGGCGAGTGTTCCCCCATGCGGTCCCTTCAGCTAGCTCCACCCCCCCTCCTGCCATTCTAGATCGGCATTGAGCCTGCGCGACAGGGTGTTATGAATGTCACGCATGATGCCGATGCATTGCTGCATGAGATCCTCCACCACTCTGGTCCATCTGGGGCACCCTTGGATTCTGGCAGGTGGCTGCAGTGCTGGTGTGGTTCAGTCCTCCATCCTGATTGGTATGGCTGTGGAGAACACAGAAAAGGAAGAGGCCGTCTGTCCTCCCTGCACACACATTCCTGAGGCCGTGCCCTCCTATGTGAGCCATGACCACATCAGTCCACAGCCAGAGAGAAGGAGATGTTACAGGGGCCCCGATGGGACCTGAGGACTGTGCTGTCCTCTCCCTTTCCCCCGACACACACACACCATGGCCAGGCAGGCAAGGGAAGTATACGGCCCCTGATGAGCAGCAGGAGCCACCATGAACAGCCTGCCCCTTCCTGGGGTCTACATACATAGCTGCGGCTCATTGGGCTATCTGAGGGAGCAGCTGCTGACTCAGAGGTCCAGGCATGCCCGTGTGCAGCACTCCAGGATGTGTGTGGGGTCATACCTGTGCACTTGCAGCTAGCCTGCTTGCAGCTGGCTACACCACCTCCCCTCTGGGGGCAGGACTTGTGTGGCCACACACGAGGCTGGCAGCAGTCTCCAGGGCACATTGAGGGGCTGGCTGCTGTGGTCATGTGCCACATCTTCCTGCTGCACATGATTGCACATTCCCAGACTGCAGCAGCATGTGCTAACCTAGCAGCCCATGCAACACTGTGTCCTCCGCCCCCTGTGTGGCCACCTCACTCACCCTGTGTGTGTGTGCCAATGTACCTGAAGCTCCCTCCCAAATTTCCTTGGAGGCCTGGGAGATGTCCAGGCTGGTAGGGACTGACTCCAAGGACTGGGTGATGGTCCCACTGTCTTGGTCATCTTCCTCCTCCTCCATTGGGAGCTGGAGGTGCCCCTCTGTGTCCTCCGGGTCGGGGACAGGCTCTGGGCACTGGACTACCAGCTGTTCCAGGTCAGTCTACCACAATGGAGGGGGAAGAGGGTTCCCTTCCCCCACAAGGAGGTGATGGAGCTCCATATAGTAGGGGCAGGTGTAGGGTCCTGCCCCTGAGCACATCTTGTACTTCCTGGCCTTGACGAATCCCTGACAAAGCTCCTTTACCGTTCCCTAGTCTTGCTTCAGGGTCCGGGCAGTGTGACCTCACTTCTCCAGAGATACAATGTGGGAATAGATCTCTGCATTGCAGTGCATGGCCCAGGTAGCCAGCAGTGACTCTTCTTCACCCCACAACTCCAGGAGGGTGGAGATTTCAGGGCCTCTCCAGCTGGGGGAATGCCTTTTCGTCCCAGTATGGGGGTCCTGTGACCAGTGTGGCTGGTTTCTAGAAGGGTCAGGGGGGTCTTAGGGAGCTTGGAGGGAGGTCATTTGTGGCTGAAGCTGTGTTGTCATGAAGGCACCTGCTCTGGGCAAACTTCTAGCCACAAGGCTTGTACAGGGTGCCTACAGCTTTAAAGGCGGCCAGCAAACAGAAACAATAGAGTTCTGATTGACTTGTCTGGAATGGCACAGAGGTCACCATTTTTTTCCCCTAGAGGCCAACTCTGTTGCAAAAACACCTCCAGTGCATCCACACTTGCCTTTTTGTGCAAGAGCAATAGCAGCAAAAAGGGAGTTGTGTCTCGTAGAAGGAGGTTTACCTACACCACAAAAAGCCCTCTGTTCTGCCATTTTACAGTATTTCCTTGTGCAAAAATGCACGAGGTGTGGACACTCCCCAGGTTTTTGCACAAAAACCTTGTAGTGTAGATGTAACCTCAAAGTAAAAGTTGCAGTCAGAATACAAACCAGAAAGGCCACT